CTATCACCCATACTCTTCAATTTATACCTCGTCGAAATTGGTTCAGCCTTCCCGATACATGTTAGAGCCACACAATACGCAGATGATCTTTTGCTATATGCTAGAGCCGGAGATGTTGAAGAGGCGAGGAATATGTTGGAGGAGGCGGTAATTCCACTGTCGGACTGGTTACTGCAGAGGGGCTTGAGGATCTCACCAACAAAGTGTATACTCTGTCCATTTTCTTCCAGGAGGGTTGATCTTGAGAATGATCATATTGATGTTGACAATACAAGAGTGATGGGTACATCCGAGATTAAGTATCTGGGAATCATTTTGGACTCTAGACTTTCTTGGATTCCCCATATAAGGGAGAATATTTCTCGGGCCTACAAGGCAATAAACGTTCTTAACGTTATCTCAAAAGTTAGTTGGGGAGCTGCCCCGATCTTGGCTCTGATGGTTTATAAGGGTCTAATCCGTGCGTATCTGAAATGGGGTTGCCAACTTTATGGATCGGCAAATGTCTCAGCTCTTGCTGGTTTGGACAAGGTCCAGAATTCCGCCTTAAGGGTTGCTTTGGGTGTCATGAGCACCACTCCAATTCCTGTATTACTGTCCGAGTCCGGGGAGATTCCATTGTCTTGCAGAAGGAAGTTGCTTACCCAGCGTTTTATCATCAGAAACTACTCGTGGCGTTTTAACCCCTTGATCCCTAAATTGGCGTTGTTGTCTGGAAGAATACGTTCTTCGGCTTGTCGTATGCCTGTGACCATTGCTAGATCTCCACTGCTGCGTACCTTTGATCTTATGCGTGAGGCTTTGGAGGCTATGTTTAGAACTAATAGGCCTGCGGACTATGATCACAAATGGGGAATGAGCTGGATGTTCGAGTGGATTTGTTTCAGGAGAAACACGATGATGGGATTTCATCTGCGGATACTCTTGCTTCTATTCAGCAAGAGGACTTTCCGGGATACACCTCCATCTTTACTGATGGATCAGTTTCTGGATTGGATGCGTGTTTTTCTGGCAGTGCATTCTATGTTCCTGAGTTCAACTATAGATTTGGGGTGGCTCTGCAGGAGTCGTCATCTGCTTACTCGACTGAGGCGTATGCTATTTTATCAGCCATTTTGTATGCCAAGAGGAGTGGTATTCCAAAAGTCCTCATCCTTTCGGATGCGAGACAAGTACTTGGTGATATTAAGGACGTCTTTTCGCGTGAACCCTCTTCTTAACTGATATATAGAATACTTGCTGCCTTGCACACTTCTGATCTTAATGGTAAGAGGATTTCCCTTGTTTGGATTCCATCTCATAAAAGTATTACTGGGAATGATGTTGCTGATCGAACGGCTAAAGTAGCTGCCAGGACGCCTTTTAGGAAGAAATTTGGTCTTCCTCAATCTGATCTGTGCAAGTTCTTTGATAACCTTTGTCATCGAGAGGTCAGGGATTCTTGGCCTTTTTTGGTGGGAAGCCGAAGGGATTGAGATATTTTGACAGTGTAAATTATGATTCAGAGAGGCCGCGGTTTACTGGTATGAGTTCTTCTCGTTTTGTCATTAACTTAGTTACCCGTCTCAGAACGGGTCACATTGTTTGTTCCGATCATTTCGACCGACTGGGGTGGAGAGTGGAACTTGAATGTCCATGTGGTGCAGAAAATAGGAGTCTAAAACACCTTTTCAATGAATGCCCTATTTTGTCTCCAAGTAGACCGGAGTTTTTTGGATTCCTGCATCATAGATTGGGAATTGAGGATCCGGAGAGGTTTAATCCATTTGATATTGTGATGAGACCTACGAGAGAGATGGTTGAGGCTTTTGGGCGCTTTATTGGCGGAGGCACCTCCCTTATAATAATTTAATTTAAATTAACTTTGTTTGTGTGCTCTAGGTTCTAAGAATTTTTTCTTGTTCTTGTTTGGTTCTTTATTTTTTTAATTTTGTTTTGCTTTTGGTTTTGTTTTTTTTTCTTTTGCGTTTTGAGTTTTGATTTTTTTTTCTTCTTAAGCAATGGTATATTTCCTTTCTTGCATTTTGTTAATCTTCCCCCTGGGTGAATTGAGTAGCCTGGGCCTACATTGGCGCTCTAATGCAGATTTGAGTATGCTTTTGCTGTTTGAGTTTGGTTTTTATTTTTTTTTCCTTGCTTTGAATTTTATTTGGTTTTATTTTATGATTTTGTTCATGATTTCGTTTTATGATTTTTTTCCCGCTATAATTTTTGTTCAGCGGTGTGTTGAGCACCTTTATAAAAATTTATTGCTGAACCCTACTTGAATTTGTTTAGTTCATGGTATATGAACAAGAATTAATAATTATAATTATATATATGCTGTTCACAAATAGAAATGGCTGTATGCTCTGCAATAGGCCACTAAAAAAGAAAGAAGAAGAAGTAAAACTTTTATCGCTGTTGTAGTCTTCTTCGTCGCAGAAAGCACGCCTTGTTGACCATCCAAATCTTGACTTGAAACTAGATTCTCGATATTGACATTTTGTTGCATTTCTTCATAAATATTATCTTCTCCTAAATTTCTCCAATTTTCTGTAAAATGAAGATCCTTTGACGGAGTTTCAAATTCTTCTGAATTGTTCATTTTAATATTTAATGGAGTACTGTGCGCAGGAATTTGACTGTAATTAAATAACGCAGAGTTTAGTTCGGTTTTTACACTATTCCCATCAACTGTTTTCTCATCAACTGCTTTTTCATCAATGTCATTTGTCGTTTCATGAGTTTTATCCATTAGAGAAGCAAAAACTTTAGTAACAAAAAAAGCTCAAAAAAAGTTTTGTGCATAATGTGAAAAACCATTAATAAAAGATAAAAAACAAATTGAATCGTCAAGGCAAGTATGCAGAAAATTTGTGGGACTCATGGTTGAAAGAAAAACAAAGTAAAAAATCGAATCCCGAAACGTATTTCTTTATGGTAACAACAATTCGGTAATGTTACTTACTGTCAAGGTCGGCCACTATGTGTTTAAAATGCGCAAAGATGAGGACGAGCTACTTTATTTGCAAAAACTGCAATTCTGTATAACTCATAATATAATTGATCATCTTATTAATATTTTTATTTAATTTTATTAATATTTTAGTGCAAAATTTTTTTTTATTTATATTTATTTTTTTATATTGTTTATTGTTATTATTTTGTTATTTCATTAAGTTACAAACTGTAAACAATAAAGAATCAATTTTCCGTTACTCCAAACATGATATTTTATTTTTTAACGATTAATGCCCTTTGAATTTTAAACATGGCCGACCTTGACTGTAATGGCCAACCTCGACTAAAAATTTTTTTTTTTAAATCTTTATAACTTTTTCATTTTAAAACCAATCAATTTACTTTGTACAGAAAAGATGTTCCTATTAAACAGGACTTTCCAACCATATACTTCAATTGTCCAAATTCATTTTTAAAAAAAAGTTATAAACAAAAGTCAAAAGGTGGCCGACCTAGACTATGTTCTCCTACTTTTTTTAAAAGTAATTGAATTTCATGAACAATTTCTTTCAAACTTTTAAAATAATTCTGTTTTTTAATAATTGAAACTAAAGTATTAAATTATTGAATTTTATTACAATTTTTAGAAAATAATTAAATTCTTCTTAATTCTTCTTTCGAAGAATAGATTACTATTAAAGGTTTTGACAATAATTGAATTCTTTCAAAAAATTTCTTTAATTTATTGAATATAATCGATTTTCTTATTAATTGTAATTAATAATTTTACTATTAAAATTTTATTAAAATTATTTATAAAAAATTGTACTATTAAAATTTTATTAAAATTATTTATAAAAAATTTAACTCTTTTAAACAATTTTATTAGAGTTTTTTTTAAATAATTAAATTCTTTTGATGAATTTCTTTATGCTTTTTTTTAAATAATGTAGTTTTTTGAATAATTTGAATTGAACATTTTTGAAAATAATGGAATTAAACAAAGAAGTTTTTTAACTTTTTAAAATAATTGTTTTTGTTAACAATTATAATTAAATATTTGATTTTTGAAGTTTATTAACATTGTTTCGATAATAATTGAAATCCTTCGAAGAATTTTATTATTAATTAAAATAATTGAAATTTTCCAATGAATTTTATTTTTTATGAAGATAATTGAATTCTTGCGAAAACTTTTATTACAATTTTTGAAAATATGTAATTGAATTTCTCCAAAGAATTTTATTATTTAAGAAAATAATTGAAATTTTCAAAAGAATTTTATTTTTTATGAAGATAATTGAATTTTTAGGAAGAATTTTATGAAAATTTTTGAAAATAATTGAAATTTTTTGAAAAATTTTATTATTTATGAAAATAATTGAATTATTGCAAAGATTTTTATTAAAATTTTTGAAAAATAATATAATTGTTTCGATGAAAATTTAAATTCTTTGGAGAAATTTTATTTAGATTGTATATTGAAAATAATTGAATTTTTGCTAAGAATTTTATTAAAATTTTTGAAAATAGTTGAATTTCGTAGAAGAATTTTATAATTTATAAAGAGAATTGCATTTTAGACGAGAATTATTATTGTCAGAAATGGAAAAGTGGAAGGTTTTTTATCAGAATTTTTTTTTCTTGAAAGAACTATCAGAGATATAATTGACAGTATATAAATTAAATCTGTTCACATTATTTTTAAAATTATTTGATTTTAATAAAATAAAAAAAATTATTTTCGATGATTTTTTATTTTTCCTTTTTTAGAAAATAAAAATTTTGGAAAATCTACCAATAATTCGGAACAATGGAAAATTTATTTTTTAAAAATGAGGGACTAATTAAAATTATCCAAGAAGTTGAATTTCAAATGAATTCTATGCAATGAATTTTTTTGCTTTAAAGGTCTATTTTTTTAAATATAGAGAAAAAAAAAGTTTTTTTTGAACACTTTATGTTTATTTATTTTTTCAGAAATTTTATTTCTTTAAAACACTTGAAAAATGATATTTTCATTCTTTTAATGTCATTAATAAAGAAAAAAATAAATGTGCATTTTGAACAACAAGTTTATAAAGTATAATATAAATAAAATAATGAAATATCAACAATAAATTACATTTGATGACCTCTCAACAATGAGTATCGATTATTTACATCGTGAAATGAAGTTGTATCTTCAGGTTCTATTACTTGTGTATTTTCCACGCCATTTTTACCTTTATTACGCTTTCTTCGTCTACGCGCACTATTCACTTTATTATCTAACGCATCCTGATTCAAAAGTCCTTTAATATGACTTAAAAGTCGATTAAATAGCCTCAATAAAGTTGGTGAATTTTGCAATTGATGTAAAACATAAGCGTCAATGTCATTTCTTCCTTTGAAATTCGTGTACAAATTATAAACCAACGTACCGTTAAACATCTCAGAAATTCTCGTTTGCTGATAAGGATAACCCAAAAGTGCATTAAGATGTAAACTGTGCCTGAGAGAAATTTGAAACTGTGCAAATGCGTGGACAATCGATACATTAAATTTCTTCGCATTCAGCAATAGATGTTGATTGATTTCGAAATTATTCAAAAAAAATGGCGCAGCCAATAAACAATCATCGGGCATAACTTGACAATACGCTTCATAAACCGTTAAATTCTCGTCTAATTGAACGTGCGATTGATGATTTTCTCTATTGTAAAAAATCATTTGTATCTGTTGATCGAATTGTTGATGAAAATATTGCTCGGAACGATGAAAACCAATTTTACTGTCAATCACACCAAAAAGCATTGCATAGAGTAATGAATACAAATGACAATTTGTTCCCGATGGTTTCTCCTGTTGTGACATCCAAAAAATAACAGTCGCCACATAAAGTTGCCATTCAGTGGGAATTGTGGCGAGGGCACACTCGGGAATGCCAAGTGTTTCGTCAAACATTCGCTTACGAATGACAATTGGAAGTTTGCGTAAATTAAAGAGACTTGGCAATTGGCTGCCGAGAATATCACTTTTGGCTTCCAATTTATTGACAATTACATTTTTTCCAGCACCTCGACAGAGATAGGACAGTGTATCGGGACCTTGAAGATTCTTTGTCAATAAACTATAAATGAGGCTTATTATTTTTGTACAAATTTTTATTGCCGCTGGATAGGAGTAATCTTCTATTTGCGGTGGGCAAACATAAAATCTTCTTGTCAGTATGTCAATAAAGTAGGAAGCATAATTTCCCATTTGGAATTCTTGAATAAACCAATCAGGAGCGACTTTTTTTATGTTTGGATTGTAACGGAATTCCGGATCGTCTTCTACAGTTTCTTCGTCATCTGGATCGACGATATCTGTAGATAAATAAAGAAACTTTTAATTTTTAATATGAAACCACTTAAAAATAATGAATAATAATAATAAACACAGTTAAAAAATAATTTAAATATTCCACAAAATTATTTTTTTAATCATTTTTTGTGAAGCGTTCTATGGTCATAAAATAAAATCACTCAGAAAATATTTTAACCCTTTTTGAATTTTTATTTTACTGAAAAATTGGTAGATTTTGAAATTCATGTATAATTTTGTAGAATATATTGTTTTGAATCCAGAAAAAAATTTCTAAATAAAGAAATTGATTTTCATAATTTTTGAAGCATTTTTTTTCAAATCTTTGTTTTTAGGCTGAAAATGCTAAAAAATACTATTATTATTCAATTTTTTTATTTGAAAATTCATTTGTTTATTTTTGTAGGTAACTAATTTCAGATCATAATTTTTATATATAAAAAATAAAAAATATGATAAAATTATGGCTCTAAAATTAGTTGGAAAAATAAACAAATGAATTTCCAAATAAAAAAAATTGAATAATAATGCTATTTTCTAGCATTATCAGTCTAAAACAAAATTTTAATTAAAAAATAGTGCTTCAAAAATTATGAAAATTATTAAATCTCCCATGGATTTCAAAATCTACCAATTTTTCAGTAAAATTAAAATTCAAAAATGGTCAAAATATTTTCTGACCTATTTTATTTTTTGACTATTGAATTCCTTATAAAAAATTACCTTAAAAATAATTTTGTAGAATATTTAAATCATTTTCTTGATATAATTAAAAATATCGATGTTTTTATTCAAATTTTGACCATTTTTCTTCAAAGACATGATTATTTAATAAAAAAAAATTGTAGTAAAATTCTTCAAATTATAAAATTTATTTCTATCAAATTTGATAAACTTTTATCATTTTAAACAATTTTTCAATTAATTACCTTCGAGAATTCAATTATCTTCAAAAAAATTTCAATTAACATTTTCAAAAATCTGTTTTTAAGATTTTCTGAATTAAATTATTGAAAATTTGAATAAAGTTCCTTGAGAATTCAATTATTTAAAAAAGGAAACTTTCTTTCGTCTAAAATTCAATTTTAAGAAATTATGATTGTACGAAAATGTTTTAATTGAATATGTATTAAAAAATTTCAACAAATTACTAACAAATAGCAAATTTAAAAAAAGATAAATTTAAAAAATTTTTGAAAGATCTAAATTGTTTACATTTTTTAATTAAAATTATTTCAAATTAAAATTTTTAATTATTTTAATTCGAAACCCTATATGAAATCAAATATTTCTAAAAATTTTTACTACAACTCTTTCAATATTCAATTACTTTCTAGAATTTTTAACTAAAATAATTCTTCTCTAGATCAATTATTTTCAATGAATTTCACTTTTCATTTTTTTGAGAATTGAATTTTTGAAAAAAGCAGAAGAAATTTCACTTAAAAGTGTTTTTAATTTCGATTATTAAAAAAACTATATTAATAATCGTTGTATTCTGGTAATCTTTTCGCAGTTTGTTGTTTGCATTTATTTATTTTTGTTTTAAATAAATAAATAAAAATAAATGAAAAAAAAGTATTTGAAACATTATAATTTTTGTAAGATATTTGAATTCTCGAAAATAATTTTAAAAAATTAAAACAATTGGAAATTGTCAAATTTCATAAAAATAAATTTAAAATTTTAAGAAATTTTATTTTTTCACTTTTAAAAATTCTTCTCTAAACTAATTATTATTTTGAATACTTTCCAAAAAGTTCTTTGTGAGAATTGAGTTATTTATTAAATATAAAAATTTAAGCTTCGTGGTTTTTTTAAAATTTTTTAAGGCAAAAAAGACATTTTTATGACAAAATTCTGTTTTAGGCTTTAAAAGAGTTGAAAAAAAGGAAAACATTTTGTCAACATTTGTGGACGTCCACATGAAAAGGGCCCATTTTAGCACTATTGGAGTTATCTATATGGGCGTATTCCTGGCAAAATTTGGAAAATTTTGAGTGGTTAAGACCACTTTTTTGGTTGAAAATTCGCTGAGTTACGGAATTTCAAAGTTTAGAACGCCAAAAACCTCATTTCGAGAAAAACGGAATTAAAGATTGCCATACCAACTAATTGTTGTATCTCTGGTTCTTCTTGGAAGTTATTCAGATAAGAATTGTTTCCAGTTCAGGGCACCTTGAAGATAAAAAACCAACAGGTTTTAAATTTTTAAAACCATCCCCCCTCCTCTTAATTTTGAAAATACGAAAAACCGACAATATGGGGCCTTTTCTAAAAAGGACAGTTTTTCTATTAAAAAACCATTTTTTTACAAGATTAATGATTTGGTACAATTTCATTGTGTCATTTGAAGAAAAAAAATAGATATTAAACTTATTTAAAATTTTTTGACAGTCCGAATTATAAAAAAATTGACGCAATAACCAAATTTTCATTTCGACAATTACGAAAAAAAGATTTTAACATTAATATCTCTGGTTCTTCTGGGAAGTTATTCAGATAAAAATTGTTTACAGTCCAGGGTACCTAAAAGATTAAAAAACAATAGGTTTTAAATTTTTAAAACCATCCCCCCTCCTCTTAATTTTGAAAATACGAAAAACCGACAATATGGGCCCTTTTCATGTCGACGTCCACATTTATTAAAGCTTTGACGGCTTTGACTATGGTTATTTTTCAAAATTATAAAATCAAAATTTGGCATTTTATACCAAAAAAATTTCATTTTGTTGCAATATGTGAAAGAAAAGTCGAAAATAAGTGAAAAATACTATTTCTCTTTATAGTAATTTCAATTTAATAAAAAATTATGTTTTTAAAAATTCTCTCAATTACAACTTTTTTCATTTAAAAATTCACTCTACTGAATATTTGAGTTGTAATAATAATTTGTTTATAAGAAATTTTTCGTACTTAACGAAATTAACTTGTTATTCTCACCGTTTTCCAATTTCTCGCCATCGTCCGAATCTTCCTCAGGACGAAGATTTTTAATATCACCTTGATACTTGAAAGGTTCTTTTTTGAATTTTCCCTCCATTTCCGCAACATATTCCACTGAGAAACCCAGGGAAATAAGTATCTGTGGATTCGATGTCGTGTAAACGTTAACAATCATTTCAATGATTTCTAAAATTTTTGGCCGCTTTTCGACTGGGAGTCGTGCGAGAATTTGAGCGATAGCATTGTGAACAGTGTGCTTACTCAGCCAGAGCAGTGTCGCTTCGATTCGTCGTTGCTGATCGTTGTAGCGCAATTTCGTTATTTTCGGTAGTCGCAGGTGATCGAAAAATCCCTTGAATGTTCGACAATTCACGTAATCGTTGCCAAGTAAAGTTGAAGCGAGAGGAAGATGTAGACGCTCAAGGCCAGGAAATTGTCTCCGGAGAGAATCCACTCTGTAGATTTTGCAGCGTTTCACGTAACCAGTTCCTCGGCGATTTTGAATTAAGAATGGATCCAGAGTATTGAATGGAATATACATCACGTCGTAAATATAAAAATCAGAATCGAAACTCAACACCGGACAATTTAAAATTCGTGCCACCGATGCTATCTCATCGTCGGCCTCAAAAAGAGTTTGAACGTATTTCACGCCTTTCTTCGACATTACTTCCTTGAAAACTTCCTTCATTAGAAGCGGAAAAAATTTGTATTCCCTTTGAGTTGTTGGGTTGTAACCGAAAGCCGATCCTACCTGAAATTAAATTTCAAACTTAATGTATATTTTTAAAGTTTTATGATAAAAAAAAAAAATAAAAAAAAAGGGTAAAAGCGGAAGTAATCGGACACTTAAGGAAACGATTGTAAATAACGCAATTTTTAAAATTAAAACTTAAATTAAAACAAAAATAAATAAAATTTACGACTTTAAAAAAACACATTATCTATTTAAAGAGTTTTTCACGATTAAAAAAAGTATAATTAAGCTGAAATACTTAAATAAAGATAAAAGGGCATATCTCTAGAACCTTTAACTTCGATATCCCTCGAATAACTTCATCAAAATTATTTTCATCATTTCAATTTAATTATTATTTTCTACAATTTTTAACTAAAATTTTTCTTTAAATCAATTAAAATTAAAAATCAATAATTTTTAAAACAGTAATTCTTTGAGAATTTTCAAATCCATTTGTTTACAAATCAATTTTACGAAATTTCATCGATTATTCGGAAATTCTTCAATTAAATATTTAGAAAATAAAAATTTATAATAATTTCAAAAAAAATTAAATTAAACCTTAAAAAAAATTAATCTACAGAATTGTCAGTTAAAAGTGTGAAAAATTTAAATTTTCAAACATTTTAATTTGAAACTTTTCAAAATTCAATTATTTCTAAAAATTCACGATAAAATGCTTTTAATATTCAATTCTAATGTAAAATTTTAACTGTAGTTTATTTTTAAATCAATTTTTATTAGAAAATTTTACGAGAATTCAATAATTTATTTATTTTACAATAAATTGAATACACAAATTAATAATTTATTCAATAAGAATGTTTCTAAAAATTAAATTTTCATAAAGAATTTTATCAATAAATTTTTAAATAGTTGAATTCTTTCGATGAATTTTAATAAAAAATTTTAGAATAATTATATTTTTCTAGGAATTTGATTAAAATTGAATTAAAAATAATTGAAATTCTGCGGTTTTTATTATTTATGAAAATAATTAAATGTTTGCTTAGAATTTTATCAAAATTTTTTTAATTAATTAAATTGTTTTTGAAAATTTTATTAAAATTTTCGATATTGAAGATAATTGAAGTGAGGAAAATTTTTGAAAAAAATGAAATTCAGATAAGAATTTTATTACTTTTGAAAATAATTGAAATTTTGACGAGAATTGAAAAAAAATTTAACATAATTGAATTTCTGGGATGAATTTTATTACTTTTGAAAATAATTGAATTCATAAAAAGAATTTTATTTTTTACGAAAATGATTGAATCTCTGTAAAAAGTTTTATTGTTTAAGAAAATAATGGAATTATTGCCAAGAAATTTATAAATAATTGAATTCTTGTGATATTTTTATTATTTATGAAAATAATATTAAATGTTTGCTTAGAATTTTATCAACATTTTTTTTAAGTAATTGAATTCTTTTGGGAAATTTTATTAAAATAGTAGATATTGAAAATCATTGACTTGAGGAAAATTTTTGAAAATAATTGAAATTTTGTCAAGAATTTTATTCAATTCTTTGAAAATAATTGAATTTTGGAGAAGAATTTAATTATTTATATAAATAAATTGAAATTTTGACGAGAATTTAAAAAAATTTTTGAACATAAATGGATTTTTGGGAAGAATTTTATTACTTTTTAAAAATAATTGAATTTCTGCAATTATTTGTAACTTCTTCAAAATTTAATTTTTTTAGTGTTATTAACTAAAATTCTTCTACGAATCCATTATTTTTAATAATTAATTAAATATATATATATTAAAAAATTGAACTAATTTCAGAAGAATTGGAATTATTAAAATTTTTAAAAAAATCTAAGTTGTTTAAAATTTTTAATTAAATTCATTCAAAATTGAACTTTTATAAAATTTCAAATCAAAACCTTTTGAAGTTCATCTATTTGTAAATTATAAGTTATTTAAAAAAAATTTTTGAAAAAAATTGAATTGTAACAAAAAATTTCATTAAAATTTTTGAAAATAATTATTAAATTCTAATAAACAAAATATATCACAACTTTTTTAAATAATTGAATTCTTTTGAAAAATTTTAATAAAATTTTTAAGACTAATTTCACGTTTCGAGAAATTCATTTAAAATTCTATTAAAAATAATTGAAATCCCGCGAAGAGATTTATTAGTTATGAAAATAATTGAATTTTTGCAATGAATTTCATTAAAATTTATTTAAAAATAATTGGATTCTTTTGAAAATTTTTATTGAAATAGTAGATATTGAAAATAATTGAATTTTGATAATTTTTTGAAATTAAATAATTTCAAAAAATGTCGACCTTTCTACGAAGAATTTTATTAAAATTATTTTGAAAAAAATTCAATTGTAACAAAGAATTTCATTAAAATTTTTGAAAATAATTAAATTCTTTCAAGAAATTTAATTCAAAAAATGTTTAAATTTAAGAAAATGGACGTGACTTTCTGAAAAAAGCAATTTTTTCAAAAACCCCGATCGTTTTTTTCATTACTTTCCAAAAGTGTCATGATCGTTTTCCAAAAGAATTTATCTGGGTCTGAAAAAGAATAAAACATTATTTTGATTATTGTTTAAAATTTGTCTTCACTAATTTTATCTCATTCTTTATTTTTACGTTAGTGTTTTATTTCTGGAATAAAACACTGTTTTGCCTTTTTTTACAAAGTTATTTCTGAAAAAATAATACAATGTGAATACAATATTAATAGAAATTTCATTGAAATTAATTTTGAGTAAATGATAAAGTTTAGAAAGTTTCTTGATTCATTGTAAATTAATATTTAAAGACTCTTATACTCAAAAAGATTCATTAACTTGTAGAGATTTTAGTGAATTAAAGAGAAAAAAGATGTTATTTTTTTATTTAATTATAAACGGGTAATTAAATATGTATAGAAAATAAACGATTGCTTAACTAACAAAAATTTTCCAGTTTAAATACAATAATGAATTTTTACCTTATCCCTAATTCGTTGACGAACTGTCAGGATTTTCTTTTCCTCGCAACCGCCATCAATGAGAACTAATGGGGTTATGTTGCATTTTTCAAGACTGTCGAAAAAATCACAAATTGTTCGTGCAAACTTATCGTAATCACCTCCGAAAGAACAATTGCATTTTGCACATCGAATGTATAATTGGGAGACAAGAGCATTGCCATCGATGACAATGTAGGTATCATGAAGTTCAAATGGTTTTAAATGCCAGTCTGATCTTTGGGCCATGTACGTTGCCAGTCCTCGAATTCCCATTTTTCATAAGTTTTTTGTATTAATCTTATGAAATTTCACTCGAATTCTCAATGTAAAATGAAAATCATAATTGGAATTAGTTTTTTTTCTTATTATTATTTGTCACTTGGAGTAATCAATTCATAGGGTATAGTTCTTGTTTTGCTAGTGCCTCTGTGTTTATTTATTTCAACTGCACAGAGTTGCCACAGAATTCAAGAAGAAAAAAATCATGGCAACGTGGCAACATCGCGTGTACCAATTACCAAATGACATCTTTATTTCTAAACTAATTTTTCAAATCCAAATTCACCATTGCTTATTAAAAACTATCAAATAAATTGAACTTGGTATTCAATTTATTATCATTATACAAGTTACAAAATTTTTTATTTTCAAATATGAATTTTTTTGAATAATTTTAGATTCAAACTTTTAAAAAAATTCAATTATTAATTAATTTACTAATTACATATTCTTGTTTATTAATTTCAAAAATTTTAATAAAATTCTTCGCAAGAATTCAATTATTTTCGTAAATACCTAATAACATTCTAAGAATTCAATTATTTTTATAAATAGGAAAATTTTTTGCAAAAATTCAATTATTTTTAAACAAAATTTTAATAAAATTTCAAGAACGTATACAATTATTTTCTAAAATTTTAATAAATCCTTCGAAACAATTCAATTATTTTTTTAAATAGTAAAATCTTTCCAAAAATGCAATTATTTTCAAAACAATTTCACGAAAGAATTCAATTTTTTTTCTAATTCGTTATAAAATTTTTCAAAAGAATTCAATTATTTTCTAAAATTTTAATAAAATTCAATAATTAAATCAATGTTTAATTTCAATTATTAACAAACGCGATTATTTTCCAAACTTGAAAGAAATTATTCATAAAATTCAATTATTTTTAAAGTTTTTAATTAAAACTAGTAAAAAAACTCCATATCATTAAAAAAAAAATTCAAAGAAATTTTTTAAAAAGAATTTAATTGGAATTTTCAAAAATTTGAACAATCGAGAATTCAATTATTTTCCTAATTCCTAAATAATTAAATTCCTGGGAAGAATTTCATTAAAAAAAAATGCAGGTGAAAAATTTTGTTATTTTTTAAAATAATTATTTTGATTCTTTTAAAAAATTTAAAAGAAACATTTTTTTAAATATAATTGATTTTTTTAAGGAATTCAAATTAAATTTTTTAGAATAATTAAATTTTTTGAGCAATTTCAGTAAAATTTTATTAAAAATAATAGAAATCTTACAATGTTGATGACATTGACAACATTGCAATGAATTTTATTATTTATGAAAATAATTGAATAGTTGCAAGGAATTTTATTAAAATTTAAAAAAAAAATTGAATGTTTTGTGTGGTATTTTATTAAATTTTTTTTGAAAATAATTGAATTTCTGAAAAGTCTTTTATTATTTATAAAAATAATTGAATTTTTGCGAATGATTTTATTAGGATTTTTTTAAATAATTGAATTACCATGAAGAAATTTATTACTTTTAAAAATAATTCAATTCTTGTGATGAATATTGTTATTTATGAAAATAATTGAATTTTGCAAAGAATTTTATTGAAATACCTCAAAATTATTGAATTTTTGGAAATAATTTTGTTATTTATCTTTAATAATTGATTTTTTTTTGAAGAATTATTTATGTAATATAATTGAATTCTTGGAAAGAATATTATTCAAATCTAAAAGAATAATTGAATTATTACAAAAATGTTTAACTTAAATTGTATTTAAAATAATTGATTACTTTCGAACAATTTTATTAAAATATTTGAAAATAATTGAATTCCTGTGAAAAATTCTAATATTTTGGTAAAAAATTGAATTCTTTCTATGAATTTAGAAAAAAGCATTTTTTTTAAATAATAGATTTTTTTGAGGAATTAAAATCAAATTTTGAAGAATAATTACATTTTTTGATCAATTCCTGTAAAATTGTATTAAAAATATAATTGATATTCTCTGCGATGAATTCTATTATTTATGAAAATAATTAAATAGTTGCTAAGAATTTTATTAAAATTTTAAAAAATTATTGAATTCCTGCAGAAGAATTTTATTATTTATAAAAATAATTGAATTATTGCGAAAAATTTTATTAAAATATTTAAAAAGAATTGAATTTCTGTGAAAAATTTTGTTATTTTTTAAAATAATTGAATTCTTCATAAGAATTTTATTTAAACATTGTTTTAAATAATAAATTTTTTCGAAACATAAATAAATATTAATAAATAAAATTAATAAATTTAATTAAATTTTATCAACATTTTTATTTTAAATAATTTAATTCTTGTGTAAAACTTTATTTGTGAAAATAAATAGAATTTTTCGATTAATTGATTTAAAATAATATTAAAAATATTTGAAATTCTTCGATGAGTTTTATTATAATATTTTCAAAATAATTGAATTCTTGCTTAGAATTTTATCAAAAATTTTTTTAAAACATTGAATTTCCATGAAAAATGTTAATATTAGTAAATAGCATTAAAAGACCTTATGGCATTAAAAATTTGACAATTTTATTTTTAATTTGATATAATTATAAAATTATATTATATTATTATAAAATTGTATTATTTTGATCAAATTTGAAATGGAGAGAAGGGGTGTTTAACTTAAAAAAGAATGTCGCATTGAAAAATATAAAAAAATGGTTTCAGATCTAATTCAGGGGTATAGGAATCGACATAGAAATCTACTTTTAAATGAAGAAAATTTGTTGAAAAATATTGCTGTTTACTCTCCAAAAACGGTATCGGAATTGTATGATATTATCGATGGTCTAAAAAAAAGTTGCGGAAATCATCCAGAGGTAATTTTTTATCAATGTACAATAATTTATTTATTTATTTATTTACATAATCTTTCCCGCAGTCCAAGATGGACCATACATGGGTTACGAAAAAAAAATAAAATTAATTATTTAACAATACTTAAGTCTAAAAAACAAAAAATTAAATTGATAGTAGAAATTGAGAACGACATTGACATTGACACTTCTAAAAGTGATCAGATCTTTCGCTCGCAGAATATTTAAAGCCACCAAATTTCTGATTTGATTTTGCAGAGTATTTATTTACTTATTCTTATAAATAAAATAAAAGTGAAATTTTTTTCAGATTCGTCTCTTGATTGTCGATAGTTTATCTCATTTAATACAATTTTCCAATGATTCCTGGCATAGAACGAGAACCTATTTTTACACATTAAAATTACTAAGAGATTTAACTCATTCAAATATCGCAGTAATTGTTACAAGTGAAATGAAAACTCAAATTCAGCATGAAGAAAGAAATTTTCAACTTGTCAGTTCAGGCGGTGATGTCACAGCCAATCAAATGAATCGACGACTGTTGCTTGCTCGCAGAAATCAAAATGAATTTGCAGCGAAAATTGTGAAAGCCCAATCCAGACAAATGGCAGTATTACCATTTAAGGTATTTTTCTTTTAAACATAATTTTTCGAATGCATTTTTTTTTTTTTTTTTTGGTTTCTTTTATCAATAAAACAGGGCTCGAACTAGGTCCATAAATCTCGTAAAGATCCGTAAATTTGCTTCCAGTCCGTAAAAGTCCGTTTTTTTTTAAAAAAAGGTCCATAAAGTCCGTAATTTGATTGAGAAAAGGAGGAAAAGTTCGTAAATTGTACGAGATAATTTGGAGAATTTTAGAGAAATTACAAATGATTACAGAAATTCAATAATTTTCAAAAGTAATAAAATTCTTCGCAGAAATTCAATTATTTAAAAGATTTAAAAAAAATTCTCTTCAAAATTTCAATAATTTTTAGAAATAATAAAATTCTTCTCCGAAAATTCAATTATTTTCAAAAATTTTAATAAACTTCTTGTCAAACATTTAATTATTTTCATAAAATAATAAAAATTTCACAGGAATTCAATTATTTACAAATTTTCTTTAAATTTCTTCGCAATAATTCAATTATTTTCATAAATAATAATATTCTTGCCAAAAAATCAATTATTTCAAAAATTTATGTTAAGAATCTTTGAAAGAATTCAAATATTTTGATAAATAACAAAACTCATTGCTGAATTTCAATTATTTTTAATATACAGTTTTAATCAAATTTCTCGAAAAATGTAATTATTCTTAAAAATTTTATTAAAATTCGTCAAAAGAATTCAATTATTTAAAAATTTGTTGATAAAATTATTTATGAGATTTGAATTTTAAGAAACATTCAATTATTCAATAAATTATTTTTTTGCATTACAAATTATTGCACAAATTTACTTATGTTCAAAAATAATAAAATTCTTCTTATGAATTCAATTATTTTTAATACATAATTTTAAACAAATTTCTTGAAAAATTTTATTATTTTTAAAAATTTTGTTAAAATTCGTCGTGAGAATTCACTTATTTAAAAATTTATTTGATAAAATTCTTTACGAGCATTCTATTTTAAGAAACATTCAATTATTCACTAAATTATTTATTTTTGTATTTAAATAATTAAATTCTAGTAGAATTTTCTATATATAATAAAAATTTATTTAAAAATGAATTTTACTTAGTTAAAATTTTACATAATAATTGAATATTAAGAGCATTTAAGGATAAATTTTTAGAAATAATTGAATTTAGAAAAGGTTTAATATTTAATTTTAAAAATAGGCAAAATTTTAACTAATATTTTCAAAAATTTTCTACAATTCAATGATTTTCAATATCTACTATTTTAATAAAATTTTCTAAAAGAAGTCAATTATTTAAAATAAATTAAATTATTTACCATAAATAATAAAAATTCCACAGGAATTCAATTATTTACAAAATTTTTTATAAATTTCTTAGCAATAATACAATTATTTTCACGAATAATAACATTTTTACAGAGATTCAATTATTTACACACATACTGAAACTCATCGCAGAATTTCAATTATTTTAAATACAATTTTAATTGAATTTCTCTAAAAATCTAATTATTTTTAAAAATTTTATTAAAATTCGTCGTTAGAATTTAATTATTTAAAAGTTTGTTCATAAAATTCTTTATCAGAATTGAATTTTAAAAATTATTCAATAAATTATTTCTTTTTCTTTTTAATTAATTGAATTGTTGTAGAAATTTCTAATAAAAATTGATTTAAAAATGAATTTCAATTAAAAATTTTAGATAATAATTGAATATTAAAAGCAATAGAAATATTTAGAAATAATTGAATTTTTTGAGGAATTGAAATTAAATTTTTTGAGCAATATTCCAGTAAAATTGTATTAAAAATAATGGAAATCCATTGCAATGAATTTTATTATTTATGAAAATAATTGAATAGTTGCAAAGAATTTTATTAAAATTTTCAAAAATAATTGAATGTTTGTGTGGTATTTAGTATTTTATTAAATTTTTTTTTGAAAAGAATTGAATTCCTGAAAAGCATTTTATTATTTATGAAAATAATTGAATTCTTGCGAACGATTTTATTAGCATTTTTTTTAAATAATTGAATTTCCATGAAGAAATTTATTACTTTTAAAAATATAATTGAATTCTTGTGATAAATATTGTTATTAATGAAATAAATTGAATTTTGCAAAGAATTTTATTAAAATACCTCAAAATAATTGAATTTTCGGAAATAATTTTGTTATTTATCTTTAATAATTGAATTTTTTCAAAGAATTATTTATGTATATAATTGAATTCTTAAAAAGAATATTATTCAAATCCAAAATAATAATTGAATTATTACAAAAATGTTTAACCAAAATTGTATTTTAAATATTTGATTTCTTTCGAACAATTTTATTAAAATATTTGAAAATAATTGAATTCCTGTGAAAAATTATAATATTTTTGTAAAAAATTGAATTCTTTCAAAGAATTTAAAAAAAACATTTTTTTAAAATAATAGCAATTTTTTTGAGGAATTGAAATCAAATTTTTAAGAATAATTATTAAAATTAATTTTTTTGAAAAAGTTTAATTGAATTTTTTTTATATTATTTGACGTTTTTATTTTCTAATGTAGTATATTTAATTGAAAAATTTACGAATAATTGAAATTCGTAGAATTGAATATTGTAAACAAATGTATCTGAAAATTTTTCAAGTAGTTTCTCGAACATTAATTGCTTTAAAGAAGAATTTTAGTTAAAAATTCTTAAAAATAATAATTGAATTGAAATGATGAGAATAATTATGAAGAAGTACAATATTCTTATAATATATAAAATAATAATTTTATTAATTTGCCATCTTTAATTAATTAATTATTATAAAAAATGAAATGTCCGGAGACTCGGAGTTATCGATATCTTCATGTTTTATAGTTATGATAAAATTTAATTTATAGTTTTTTTTAAGTAAAATGTTCTCTTATTTGACTCGGACTGGTTTAATTTTTATCAGAAATTTGTCCGTAATTTTTCATTTTTGGTCCATAAAGTCCGCATATTTTTTTATTTTTAAATACTTTCACTGATTCGAGCCCTGATAAACACATATTTATTATTTTCTTTCTTTTCTTCAGATCACATCAGATGGAATTGAAGATTCACCTATTTAGCATTCTTAGTAAATTAAAAATAATTTTTAAAATAGATATTTAAAATATTTTTTAATATGTGGGTAGAAAAAGAGGTATTAATAAACAATTTGGAAAATTGTGTTAATTTCTTTATTTGCATTTTAAAATAATTTTAACATTGACCCGTGAACATTGCTTTACGGAGTTTCAATAAGAAACAAACCGATTGTCAATAAATAATATAATTTTGCTTTTCTGTAGAAAATAGACGTATAATCTGAAAACAGTGACAATAGCAAACTTACATAAAAAAATATATTTATATATATATGTATATACTAATGTGTATAAGATAACATGAGAAAAGATTTGAAGCCTATTTTATAATATTTGAACACTTTTTTTAATCTTTTTATCGAGCAAAAGAAAATATTCAATTTTTCTTAAGCACCAGATTTTTCATTTAATTATAGTTTAACATTTTTTTTTTTTATAAATCAGTGCGTCATCAACTATTATTAAAAATAACAATGACTTGTCAATAAATCATTTTAAAAGAAAAAATCATTATTTTTGATAATTAAACTTTTATAAAGAAACAAAAATTCTATTAACATTTAATATTTTTTACAATTTGACAAATAAAGAAACAATTTTTACAGATTATAAATAATTAGACAAAAATCTCTTTTTACTTGGTTCACATTGACTATAACATTTTGAGGTTGAAAAAAAGTAATAGAAATATTAACAGTTGAATGAACAATCAAAGATGCACTATTCATTGTTAATTAATTCTATAAAAACGAAAAAAAATTAAAATTTAAGTAAATGCCCTGTCTTTTATAAGAGAATAAAGAACAAAAAATTTACAGATATGTAATTAAATTAAATTTTCATTGATTTTTCATTTATCTGATCGCTTTGCTCTTTTAAGTTTCAATTTCAAGTCGATTAATTTCATTAGAAGCGTTTTTAAAATTTATGTGTAGAATTGTCAAAAAGACGATAGGAGATTCATTTGATTTTAGGCAGTGCACCAACAAAGCGAGCGACACATAGGAAATTGTCAATTATTTTTTTTCCACCTTAAGGTGTGTCTTTCACGAGACTGAGAAGAGCTCTTTTGTAGTTACCAGATGTGTCACCCTAAAGAAGAAAACAAGTTTTTTATTTAATTTCCATTCTCATCACATGAGAAGCTATTATATTAATAATAAAACTATTTAACAAATTTTTCAGTTTTCAGTTGAAAAGTTTCAAATAATGTCCAATTTTATTATTTATTTTTACAATTAAACAAAAATTCAGAAAATAGAGAAAATATATTTAAAATGAAGGAAAAATAAATAAAATTAAAATTAGAAAAAGAATGAAATATATGTAAAAAAAAGAATGCAAACATAAATAGTAAAAAGAGAAAATAATACTCACTTCAATGAAGCTCTCTAAATCTTTTCCATAAACAGTACTAAATGCTTTCTTAATATCGCCAAGATCAATTTCACTTCGAGAAACGATAATTCGAATCAGAGTGCGATCCTTGGTTCCAAGTCCATGCATACTCGCATGAAGTCTCTCAGCGAAAAAGCCAATCTTAGACTTGACGCATTTTACTGAAAAATTAAAGAAAACAATTATTAATAAACAATTTGATAATTTTTGTTTCTAAGGCTAATATTTTCTTTTAATTAGTAGAAAATATTCAAATTTGTAGTTTTATTACTATTTTCCTTTGTAATATAATATTTAATATATTATTAAATATTCAGGCATCACAGTACACCTTTTTTCCTCAAAAAAGGTGAAAAGGGAAATTTTTTTCCTCAAAAAAGGGATAAAAATTAATTTGTTTATACAACTTGCATATATAATTTCCTTGACTTTTCCTTGATTTAAAGACGAAATTTTGACTTTTTCCCTAAAGAATATTCTGCGATTCAGTCTAAAAATGATTAGATACTCAAAAAAATGTTTTATTACATTTATTTACGAATTTCTTTAACTGTAAAATTATTCGAAAACAACAATAACTGATTTTTAAAAAAAAATATTTAATCATTATTATTTTTCCATAGGAATTAAGATTTTCAAAACATTCAAATTCAAATCTTTTTGAAATTCAACGATTTATGAGAATATTATTATAAAACATGAAGAAAGTGATCACTTTCTTCATGTTTTATAATCATTAAAGATAATCGAGTTATAAGATAATTATTTTTTACTATAAAAAATATTTTTACTGTAACTTCTTCAAAATTATACTCATCATTTCAAATCAATCAATATTTTCTAAATTTTTTAACTAAAATTTTTCTTTAAATCAATTATTTACAATAATATTTTAAAAATTCTGAGAATTTTCAAATGTATTTGTTTACAATTCAATTTTACGAAATTTCATCGATTATTCAGAAATTCTTCAATTAAATATATATATTTGAAAATAAAAACTTGAAATAATTGCAATTAAACTTTTTGAAAAAATTAATTCTACAGAATTGTTAGTTAAAAATATGAAAAATTCAGATTTTCAAAGATTTCAATTTGAAACTTTTTCAAAATTCAATTATTTCTAAAAATTCACGTTACAATGCTTTTAATATTCAATTATAATCGAAAATTTTAACTGAAATCCATTTTTAAATTAATTTTTATCAGAAAATTCTACTAGAATTCAATTATTTAAATACAAAAATAAATAATTTATTGAATAATTGAATGTTTCTTAAAATATAATTTTTAAAAAGAATTTGATCAAAATTATATTAAAAGTAATTGAAATTCTGCGATGATATTGTATATAATTGAATTTAGGAAAATTTTTGCAAATAATTGAAATTTTGCCAAGAATTTTATTAAAATGTTTGAAAGTAATTGAATTTCTGCGAAGAATTTTATTATTTTTTAAAATAATTGAATTTTTGCAATTATTTGAAACTTCTCCAAAATTCAATTTTTTTTTCAGTGTTTTTAACTGAAATTCCTCCATAAATTTATTATTTTTAATAATTAATTAAATATATATATTAAAAAATTTAACTAATTTTAGAATTATTTAAATTTTGAAAATTTTTCAAGAAATGTAACCTTTTTAGAATTTCTAATAAAATTCATTAAAAATTGAAATTTTATAAAATTTGAAGTTAAAATCTTTTCAAGTTCATCTATTTATGAAAATTGTAAACGAAACTATTTTAAAGTTCAATTAATTTTCAAATGTATAAATAAAATTATTCATTAAATAATTTGTTCGTTATAATTTTATGATAGTTCTTCAAGAATTAAGTTATTTAAAAATAAATTTTTGTCAGAAATGGAAAAAATTGAGGGTTTTATATTAGAATTTTTGTTTTTTCTAGAAAAAACTATTATTAATAATATTTGAATTATTTGAATCATTTGAATGTTAATTAATTATTTTTCTAAAGGTCTGCATTCTGTTGAACGAACCACCTTAAAATTTATAAAATTGTTTATACGATATCTATATTATTTAAATTATTAACATAAAAAACATATTTATATTATGTTGTGGTGTTAATAATCTAAATCAGATATAAAACGCACTGAATTCTATAAAATTGAGTCTAAATTTTATGCGATTACACTTTGAAAAAAATTTCAAAAAAAGAAAAACTTGTTTATTTTTGATTAGAAAAAGGTGAAAAAGGGGACAAATCAGCAAAAAAGGGGAAAAAGGTGACAAATCGTCAAAAAAGGTGAAAAAGGGGACACAATTGAAATAAGAGGACAAAAGGGGAAAAGGGAACCAACTGTGATGCCTGAATATTACATTAATTAAATTATTTTATTAGAAAATATTTATATTTATTAAAATATTCATTATATTAATTAGAGGAAATTAATTTATTATTATTGTAAAAATTATTGCATAAATTTCTTACCAATTCCAAGAAGACCTTTCTCAATAGAGCCGGAGAATTCTTTCTTAATTGCTACATCAATATCATGTCCAGCGAGTTTGTCATATTCCAAAAATGTCTGACGAAGTTGTTGATAACTGCGATTCACCAAAATTTGATTGAATTTCGATTCATCTGTTCCCCATTGTTTTTCACCTGGGAAAAATAACGAAAATTGATTAACTTTTTAATATATAATTTATTTATATTGGATACGAAATCGTAGTTATTGCAAAAAAAAGAAAAATGAAGAATTATGTAAACTGGATAAAAAAAATTATTTTCATATGGTAATTTTTTTTTTTGCTTACCGGCTTCATAAAGAGCCTGTGCGTCTTCAGCGGCCTGATTGTGATCGACGGTTTGATTTTCATCCCGATTGGCCTGAGTCAATGAAACCAAGAGTCGTTTAAAGTGTCCTGAGGTATCGCCCTTCAAGTCATGTTCCAAAGTTTTTCCATAAACTGTAAAAAAAAATCAAAATTTTTCTTTTAAAAAACAAATATTAGACATAAAAAAAGTTTATGCAATCAAAATAAGTGTAAAAGATCATTTCTAAAACTAAAAACTCATTTTTAGTACTTTGTGAATTTAATTATGTAATTATAAAAAAGAAACTAAATTAATTTAATTTTTCTTTTTTCCTGATTTCGAGACAAAATTTTGTCTTTTTCCTAGATCCTAAAGAATATTCTGATTCAGTCTAAAAATGATTAGATACTCAAAAAAATGTTTTATTACATTTACTTATGAATTTCTTTAATTGAAAAATTATTCGAAAACATCCATAACTTCTTTTCTAAGTAAATATTTAATCATTATTTTTTCATAGGAATTAAGATTTTTTTTAAATTTCAAATTCAAACCTTTTTAAAATTCAACAATTTGTAATAATTAAAGACGACCTAGAGATAAAATCATTATTTTATATTATAAAAATATTGTTACTGTAACTTCTTCAAAATTACTTTCATCATTTCAATTCAATTCTGATATTCTACCATTTCTAACTAAAATTCTTCTTTAAATCAATTATTTTTAGTAATTTTTGAAAAAGTTCTTTGAGAATTTTTAAATCCATTTCTTTACAATTCAATTTTACGAAATTTCATCCATTATTTGAAAATTCTTAAATTAAATATTTAGAAATTAAAAACTTGAAATAATTTTCAAAAAAATTGAATTAAACTTTTTCAAAAAAAATTAATTCTACAGAATTGTCAGTTAAAAGTATGAAAAATTCAAATTTTCAAATATTTTAATTTGAAACATTTTCAAAATTCAATTATTTTTAAAAATCCACGCTATATTGCTTTTAATATTCAATTATTATCTAAAATTTTAACTAAAATTCATTTTATAAATCAATTTTTATTAGAAAATTCTACGAGAATTCAATTATTTAAATACAAAAATAAATAATTTATTGAATAATTGAATGTTTCTTAAAATATAATTTTTAAAAAGAATTTTATTATCAAATTTTTAAATAATTTAATTCTTTTGGCGAATTTAAATAAAATTTTTAAGAATAATTACATTTTTCGAGGAATTCGATTAAAATTGTATTAAAAATAATCGAAATTCTGCGATGAGTTTCATTATTTGTGTAAATAATTGAATCCCTGTAAATATGTTATTATTCATGAAAATAATTGAATTACATGAAAGAAATTTTTAAAAAATTTGTAAATAATTGAAATCCTGTGAAATTTTTATTATTTATGAAAATAATTAAATGTTTGCGTAGAATTTTTTCAAAATTTTTTTAAGTAATTGAATTGTTTTGAAAAATTTTATTAAAATAGTAGACATTGAAAATCATTGAATTGAGAAACATTTTTGAAAATAATTGACTTTTGTAGAAAAATTTCATTACTTTTAAAAATGTAATTGAAATTTTGATGAGAATTTAAACAAATTTTTTTAATATAATTGAATTTCTGCGATTAATTTTATTACTTTTGAAAATAATTAAATTTCTGCATTCATTTGTAATTTCTCTAAAATTCTTCTAAAAATCCATGATTTTTAATAATTAATTAATTATTATAAATTAAAAAGTTTGACAATAATTTCAGAAGAATTAAAATTATTAAAATTTTTCAAAAATTTAAGTTTCTTAAAATTTCTAATTAAATTCATTTAAAATTAAAATTTTATAAAATCAAGAAATAATTATGAAAATAAAAATAAAATCCACAAAAATAAAAAAAAATGTGAATTCAATATAATTTATAGAATGATTAAAAATTGCAAATTATTTAATATTACTGAAAATATTAAATTAAAATTAAAATATTAAATTAAGACAAACAAAAATAAAAACTTCAAAGAATTTTAAAAAAATTCAATTAAACTTCAAAAAAATTAATTTTACAGAATTTTTTCCTATGAAAAGTTCAGAGTTTCAAAGTTTTTAATTTGAAACCTTTTTAAAATTCAATTATGCTTTTAATTTTCAATTTTTATCTAAAATTTTGACTAAAATTCATTTTTAAATAAATCTTTATTAGAACATTCTACTAGAATTCAATGTATTTAAATACACAAATAAATAAGTTACTGAATAATAGAATGTTTCTTAAAAGTGAATTCTCAAAAATAATTTTATTAAAAATTATTAAAATTAAGTGATGAATTTTACTATTTATGATAATAATTGAATTCCTAAAAAGAATTTAATTTTTTATGAAAATAATGAAATCACTGTAAAAAATTGTTTTATTTATAAAAATAATGGAATAACTGCGAAGAAATTTATAAAAAATTTGTAAACAATTGAAATCTTGTGAAATTTTTATTATTTATGAAAATAATTTAATGTTTGCGTAGAATATTATCAAAATTTTTAAAAATTCTAAGTTCTTTACAATTTCTACTTAAATTCATTCAAAACTGAAATTTTATAAAATCAAGAAACAATTATGAAAATAAAAATAAAATCTACAAAAATAATAAAAAATGAGAATTCAATGTACTATAGAATGATTAAAAATTGCAAATTATTTAATATTATTGAAAATATAAAATTAAAATTAAAATATTAAATTAAAATTTCTAATTAAAATACCAAGAGAAAAATTAAAACCGGAAAATAGAAAAAAAATGTCCACATTAAAATGGAACAAAATTAATGTATTTAAAATGCTAACAGGTATTCAGCATCACGTATCATCAATTGACTATCTCGTAAAAGTGATGACATCATATTTGCTAGCATTCTTATAAATATAGAAGCCTACTCACTGTCCTTCTTTTCATATGTACGTTTAATGACTTCAGTGCAATCTCTTTTAAAAGAAAGAGGAATTACAAACTGACTCATTTTGCTAGAAGTCGTTCAACAAAAAAAAGGAAAAAAATATCTATGATTTGTTTACTTGGAATTCCTGTTATAGGAAAATTATTAAAGAAAAATATTAATCAAACTCTAATTTTAAATCATTGATTGGAAAATACAAAAGAAAATTAACTGTAGGATAATATTTAACTAAAAAATTAAATTAAATTATTAAATTAATATTTAACTAAAAATCAAATTAAATTATTAAATTAGTATTTAACTAAAAAGAAATTAATTTTAAAAACTTAAAATCTATACTTTTATTAAAATTCAATTTTAAACTTAAAAATTTAATACCAATTTTAAACTTGAAAATTTAATATCAATTTTAAACTTAAAAATTTAATAACAATTTTATGCTTAAAAATTTAATATCAATTTTAAGCGTAAAAATTTAATTTCAATTTAAAGCTTAAAAATGTAATATTAATTTTAAACTTAAAAATTTAATATTGATTTTAAACTTAAAAATTTAATATCAATTTTAAGCTTAAATATTTAATATCTATCAATTTTAAAAATAAAAATATTAAATGCTTACTTTCGACAAATTTTGTTAAAATACTTGCTAAAATTGTTGAATACAAAACCAAAATTCCTCAAAAAAATAAAAAAAAAATGAAATTTTCTGAAAGGGAAATTTGTAAAAATATCTTACGATTTTCGTAGAAAGTGGCAATCGTGCGAATTCCGTAGTTACTGAGGGTGCAGAGAATTTCAATAATTGCTTCCTCGTCGGTTCCAAGTCCAGCGACAGCGTCGTGCAATTCTTGGGCATAATAATGTGGCAACGGTGTCATAAGAGCGACAATTACATTCTCCAATTTACCGCTGAGGGCACCTTTCAAATCGCTTATCAAGTCCTTGCCATAGAGGGTTTTATAGGCCTCGGCGATCTCGAGCCGTTGAACGATACCGCGATGAGTGAGGATGTCGATGATGGCCTTCTCGTCCTTCTTCATCGCCTTCTTCAACGTCTCTGCGTCAACATTTGCGTTGAATGGCTCCGCCGGATAAACCGTTGGTGTGCACTACAATTTTTTTTTGTTTTTTTGTTAGAAAAATCAGGATGGTTATGAAAATTGCAAATTTAGAAGTTTATTTCTGGCTCTCACAGTTTTCTAACAATAAAAATTGGGAATAAATTATTTTCTACAATTTTTAACGAAACTTCAACTCTAAATCAATTATTATTATTGTTTATAATAATTTTCCAAACTAAAGTACTGGAAAAAAATTGAATTCTGGAGAAGTTACAAATTATTGCAGAAATTCAATTATTTTCAAAAGTAATAAAATTCTTTACCGAAATTCAATTTTTTTCAAAAATTAATAAAATAATTTATAAATAAATAATAATAATAAAAAAATTAATAATAATAATAATAATAATAATAATAATAAAATTTTCCAACAGAATTCAATTATTCAAAAAAAAAAAATGTTGATAACATTCTAAGCAAACATTAAATTATTTTTATAAATAATAAAAATTTCACAGAAATTCAACTATTTACAAATTTTTTATAAATTTCTTTCAGGAATTCCATTATTATTTTTATAAATAATACAATTTTTTACTGGAATTCAATTATTTTTATAAATAATAAAACTCTTTTTTGAAATTCAACTATTTTCATTGATATAATAATAAAATTCATCACTTAATTTCAATTATTTTTAATACAATTTTGAAGCGAAATTTTCGAAAAAATTTGTTGATAAAATTCTTTTTGAGAATTTAATTTTGAGAAACATTCATCTATTCAATAAATTATTTTATTTTTGTATTTAAATAATTGAATTCTCGTTGAATTTTGTAGTAAAAATTTATTTAAAAATGAATTTCAGTTAAAATTTTAGTTAATAATTGAATATTAAAAATGTTATTAAAATTATAAAAATAATTGAATTTTGAAAAGGTTTCAAATTAAAATCTTTGAAAATTTGAATTTTTCATACTTTTAAACTAAGAATTCTGTAGAATTAATTTTTTTGAAAAAGTTAAATTGAATTTTTTTAAAAATAATTTCAAGTTTTTATTTTCCAAATATTCAATTGAAGAATTTCCGAATAATCAAAATTTCGTAAAATGTAATTGTAAACAAATAATGTAAAAAAATAATTGAATTCTTGCAACGAATTTGTATTACATTTTTTTTTTAAATAATTGAAATCCTGTGAAGAATTTTATTATTTATGAAAATAATTGAATTCTTGCAACGGATTTTATTAAATCTTTTTTAAATAATTGAATTCGTTTGAGAAATTTTATATTAAAATAGTAGATTTTGAGAAAATTTGAATTTCAACGAAGAATTTCATTATTTGTGAAATGTAATTGAATTTTTGCAAAATATTTTTGAAAATAATTACATTTTTCTAGGAATTTTTTAAAAAATTGTATTAAAAATAATTGAAATCCTATGAAAAATTTTATTATTTATGAAAATAATTGAATTCTTATAACAAATCTTATTGTAATTTTTTTAAATAATTGAATCCATGTGAAAAATTGTATTACTTGTAAAAATAATTGAAGTTTTAAAAAAAAAATTAAATTGTTTACAAAAATTTTAATAAAATCCTTCGAAAAAATTCAATTATTTTTGTATATAATTTCAGAAAACGAATTAATTTTTTTTTGATGAATTACTTTTTTCGAAACAATATTTTAATACTACAATAATTTTTTAGTAACCACGTTTCATTCATTTTTATTTTTAAATTTACACTTGAAGATTTTTCATTAAAATTCTTGAGGAGAATTTAATTATTTTCAAATTATTGTCAATTAAAATTCGTTCAAAAGTTGATTTTAAATTAGATTTTACAAAATTTGAATTATTGAAAATTTTTTTAATTGTATATTTCTAAAATTTAATTAGAAAAATTATTTTATTAATTATTTTATTTATTTATATTTTATTTTTTTATATTTAGGTTATATTTTAATAATTAAAATTTTTTGTAAGCTTTGTCCATAGTTATCTTTATTAATTATTAAAAAATAAATAAATAAATGCTGAGATTTTTACTATTGAATGTTAAATTATGAAAGAAAATTTGAAAACATAATTTGGTTAAATAAACAGAGCAGTAAACCCAATTGCCTTGAATAAGTAAATAAACCTATATAATTTGAAATCCTGTTCTTGGAAAAGTTGCATAATTTGCACTTGAAAAATGTTACACGATACGTCCTTGGGAATCCAGTTCCTATACAAAACATAATTTCATCTTCCATATAAAAATAAAAATAAACATAAAAAAATATTCTAAACTACGAAATTAATAACTATTTACTTAACACAATTTAAATTTAGCTAAAAATTAATTAGAACTATGTACTGCAATTATTAAGAAACCCAGAATTATAATTTTTAGTTTTAATTATTAAAATTTTTTAACTTAACTAATAATTCAACGAAATTAATAATTCAATAATAATTAAAAATTGTATTTAATTAATTCTTCCTTAATAAAATTTTTATTTAAAAATATCGAAAAGAACTGTTTTAATAAAATTAAATAAATAAATATAATATAACATATAATAATATTTAATATAAACAAAATATAAATAAAAATAAATAAAATAAAAAAAATTAAATTAACTGTTTCGAAATTATTTAAATCATTTAAAAATATCGAAAGTCAGGAGAAATGATTTAATAGATTTTAATTCTCTTTCGCAACTATATTTAAAACCCATAAGATTAAAAATAGAAACAAAGTTTTCAATTTTCAGTGTGAGTTTCAATAAGAACTATGAGAATAAAAATTTTAAAATGAAATTATTTTTTTTTAATTATAAATTTTTTATTTATTTTTTAGTTTCTATGAAGAAATTTTTATGTGGAAACTTAAAAAAATATTATACTATTATTATTATATTATTATTATTATTATTATTATTTTTCAATAATAGAAAAGTAGAAAAGATAATTTTTACTATTAGGTTATAAAATGACGATTTTACTTTTTTTTAATATAAAAAAAATTTATTGCTTTTCAATTATTTAAAAATGCATTAGATTGTTAAAAAATGACATCATCGATTCAAATATAAAACATTACTAAAGAAACTAAAGAAATTAGCATTAAAAATAAAGGAATATTTTATTTTCTAACCTAAATAATAAGGGTAAATATTTACATTTTTTTTCCGAAAAATTATATATAAAACATGGGAAGAATTTATTCATACACTAGAAATGTGAAAATTTCTTTTATTTTTTTAACTTACTTTGAATGGATAGTATTGTTGTTGTGACATTCTGATTCCTGGATTTGTTATTCTCAAATGAAAACACTAAGAACAAGATTGAATTGCACGAGTAAGTTGGAGAGATGAGAAAATAAAATTCTTTGAATTTAGAAAAGGAAAGTTGAATTTCTTTTTTCTCTCTAATTATTTATAGAGAAACTGTGTGTAAAAACAATCGATCGATGATATTCAACTTGTTAACACTACGACGACCGGTCACGCAATGCTAAAATGACACAAGACCAAGACGCTTGCGGTGACGCCCACTACGTTTCTCACACTTGAAATCTTTTCGAGTAATCACAGTATTTATAAGAAATGACATTACACTCGCCCTTAATCACCTTATGAAATTTTGCCTTAGGATGCACTGACCCCAATTACGATATCACTAAAGTTAATTGTCTCATGAAAATAATCATCTTTTGAAATACATTTTAAAATATTAAAGAAAAAAGAAAAATTTTTCTGATAAACGACAAAATAATGAAACTACTGTCAAAAAAACCGGTTCAGGGCCGTCACACCTTCTATAGAGAAATATTCCGAGACTATTTTAATTTAGTAAAAATAGTTCAATTTTCTAAAAATTCGAAATTTTACTAATTCTTAATATTTTAGTTTCGCATTACTATTTACTTAAAATTATAACTATTTATATAATAATAAATGAATTAATTAAATAAATAGATAGAAAAGAAAAAATGTATGAAAATAATAAAATCGTTATGGAAAATAAAATGTATTCAAATAAAAATTTTTTCAGTTTATTTATTTACTTGAAATCCTTGAAATTGAAAAATTTAATTCTTACTTTCTTTTAATTAAAAAAGAAAACTTCAAATTTAGTACAAAATAAAATACGATTGCAGCTCCATTGTTTTATTGGTTTTATTCAAGGCGAGTTCACTGCGAGTTCACCCTCTATGTTAATCATATAGTAATGGGTTAAAATTAAAGGGCAATTTTTAAACCTTTATTAATTTTTGACCGCTTTCACCCAGTTTTTAAATAAGTGCATCAATAATTCATCAGTTTATTTGATTAATTATTTACAAAAAGACTGAATAGTCGTAAATTACGGAAACAAGGTAAGAATAAATGTTGGACGAGCAAAATTTTGAGGTTATGTTTACATATGTTATATATACGTATGTTTATATTATTATCAATCAATTTAATCAATTTAATTTATTTCTTAAAAAGTTTACAATGCGCTAAATATGAGGAGAATGAGTGATTTTTCAAAAAAATTTGTTTTATTAATTTCTTATTACTATTTTTTTGTATTATTCTTTAGCAACTGGATTTTTTAAATTGTTTGCTTACTTTTTTTCATTTTTCAATATGTCATTGATGTCAATAATAAAATACGTAAAATACTTCATAAAATTCCTGGTAAAAAAAATGGTTGAATAGATTATCTTAGATTATATCTTCGAATAGGATTATTCTGTCGCTTATAATTTAAACATTTTTAAATTCTTCACGGATGAAATATAAATTAAAAAATTTATCTACTATTGTCTCAGCTTCTTTGTCATTATGAATAAAAAGAAAATACATTTTCATAAATAAATATTAAGCAAGTGAAAGATGAAAATTTTATCTCGAAAGTATTGTTATATTTTCTTTTGAAAGTATACTGACAAGTCAATAATAAAAATTTCGTGAGTAAATAATAATTGCAAACTTAATATAAAAATATATGTAAACAAATATTTTTTTATTTTTATGACGTAACTTTTTTTTCGCATTTTTTTAATAATACTAAAGATACTAAATAAAATAAAAATAAAAAAAGTAAATAAAATTTAAATAAGATTCACTAAAAAGTAACGATATAATTTGGAGAATTTTAGAGAAATTACAAATTATTGCAGAAATTCAATTATTTTCAAAAGTAATAAAATTCTTCGCAAAAATTCAATTATGTTCAAAAATTTTTTTAAATTCTCGTCAAAATTTCAATTATTTTTAGAAATATTAAAATTCTTCTCCGAAATTCAATTATTATCAAAAAATCTAAAAAAAATTGTCAACTTCTCAATTATCTTTATAAATAAATAGCAAAATTCTTCGACAAAATTCAATTGTTTTCAAAAATTTTATTAAAATTCATTACAAAATTTTAATTATTTTCATAATTAACAATATTTATCACACGAATTCAATTATTTTCTAAAGTAATAAAATTCAATTATTTTCAAAAATTTTAATAAAATCAATTGCAAAATTTCAATTATTTTCAAAAGTATTAATATTCTTCGCAAAAATTAAATATTGTTCAATATTTACTATTTTCATAAAATTTACCAGAAGAATTTAATTATTTAAAAAAAAGTTTAAAAAAATTCTACAAAAACTTTTAATTATTTTCAAAAAATAATGAAAATTTTTAAGAGGAATTGAATTCCAAGAAACATTTAATTATTCAATAAATTATTTATTTTTGTATTTAAATAATTGAATTCTGGTAGAATTTTCTCATAAACTTTGATTTAAAAATAGATTTCAGTTAAAATCTTAGATTATAATAATTGAATTCTTTCGAAGAATTTCATTAAAATTTTAAAAATAATTGAATTTTATCGAGACATTTTTTTAAAATTCTCTTAAAAATAATTAAATTTCTACCAAAAAAAAGTTTTATCAAAACTTTTCAAAATGTTTGAATTTCTGCTAAAATTCTGATATTTTTGAAAATAATTGAATTCTTGCGAAGAATTTTATTAAGACTTTTGAAAATAATTGAATCTCTGCAAAGATTTTCATTATTTTACGAAAATATTTAAATTCTTGCGAAAAATTTTATTAAAATTTCTGAAAATAATTGAAATTCTGCATTGAATTTTGTTATTTTTAATTTATGCCAAGAATTTTATTAAAATTTTTTAAAATAATTGAATTCCTGTTAATTTTTTTACAAGAATTTAATTATTTATTTGAAAATTTTAATAAAATTCTTCTCAAGAATTCAATTATATTCATAAATAATAAAATTCAATGCAGAATTTCAATTATTTTATTTATTTTTAATACAATTTTAATCGAATTTCTCGAAAAATGTAATTATTCATAAAAATTTTATTAAAATTCGTTGATAGAATTCAATTATTTGAAAATTTGTTGATAACGATTTTTTATGGGATTTAAATTTTAAGAAACGTTCAATTATTCAATAAATTATTTATTTGCATTTTATTTGTATTTAAAAAAAACATTTAAAACTAAAATTCAATTAATTTTAGTAGAATTTTCTAATAAAAATTTATTTTCATTTCATAAAAATGAATTTTATTTAAAATTTCAGATAATAATTGAATATTAAAAGCAATATAGCGTGAATTTTAAAAAAATAATTGAACTTTGTTATTAATTTTTTTGAAAAAGTTTAATTGAATTTTTTTAATATTATTTTTAGTTTCTATTTTCTAATATTTCTTTAATTAAAGAATTTACGAATAATTGAAATTTCGTAAAATTGAATATTGTAAAGAAATGAATTTGGATATTGTCAAAGTACTTTTTCGAAAATTATTAAAAATTATCGATATAAAGAAGAATTTTAGATAAAAATTCTTAAAAATAATAATTGAATTGATAATGATTTTAATTATTATAAATTATTTTTATTAATAATTATTATTAATTATTATAAAACATGAAGAAATCGATGACTTCGAGTCGAAGACTCGGAGTTATCGATTTCTTCATGTTTTATGGTTATGAAAAATTGAATTTCTAGTTTTAAGTAAAATGTTCTCTTATTTGATTCGGACTGAATCTATTTTTATCAGTTGGTCCGTAATTTTTAATTTTTGGTCCGTGAATTCCGTATTTTTAAATACTTTCACTGCTTCGAGCCCTGTATTTAGATACAAAATTAAAAGTTTATTTATTTAAACTTGATAATGAACAATATTATATTATCGATTTAAATTTTCAAATATTTAATAATTCGTTTATTTTTAAATTAATATCTGTATGAATATTTTTCATTTCATAAAATTTTGTTATTTATCAAAAGTAATTAGTAAGTTTATATATTTATTAAAAACTTTTATAATATTGTATACATAAAACACTTTTTGTTAAATTTTGTTAACAATATTCTTATTCATCAATTCAATTTAAATATAATTGGAGATTAAAATATTGATAAAAGTCATAAATTACTTAAACATTTGAACTAATGAAATATTAATTCCTGCAGTAATCAGTGTCATTTATAACAACTTTACAAAGTGTTAATGTTTAAGTGAATTCTCTTCATCTTTTAGATACCTAGTTAAAATTAAATTTTTCAAATTCAAATTTTCTGAAAAGTCAGGGATTTTTATTAAAAGTACTGGAAAAAATTACATTTTTATAGAATTCATAAGAAAAAATTCTAATTTTTTGTGTCTATTTTTGTTTTTCTCATAAACTATAAAATTACCAGGAATTTTAATAAAAAACCTTGAATTTTTTCTATTTTTGATAATAATTTCTTTTTAAATAACTTAAATCTTGAAAAACCATCATAAAAATATTACTTAGTAATTATTTAATGAATAATTTTACTTAAATGTTTCAAGATTAATCGAATTTTAAAAGATTTGGGTTTACAATTTTCATATAAATAGATGAACTTTAAATTTTTGAATAATTTTGATAATTCCAATTCTTTTGAAATTAGTTCAATTTTTTAATATATGTTTAATTAATTAATTAATAATTAATTTTAATTAAGTTTAATTAATAATTATTTAATTAATTAATTATTAAAAATAATGGATTTATAGAAGTATTTTAGGGTTGGGGTAGTTTTTGGAAAACGTACGTCTATTTTCTAATTTTTTATTTTCTAAAACTTTTTTTTCTAATAAAAGTAAATTTCTAAAACTTCTTTTTTCTAATAAAAGTAAATTTCTAAAAAACTTTTTTCTAATTAAGGTGATTTTCTAATTTTCTTTCTTCTAATAAAGGTCATTTTCTAAAAATTTATTTTCTAACAATATTACATTTTTGTAATGACGATCAATAGGTAAATGATTAAAAAAATAAAATTTATGAAAATTTTGTAATTCTTTAAAAAAAATACTTGAAATTTCGTTAAAAAATTGTAATAAACAAATGGAAATTATCTAAATTTTTCAAAAAAATTTAAAAATTATCTAGTTAAAAATCGTAATTAATAAATAGAAATTATTAGGATTTTTTTCCTAAAGATATTTAGAATTTTCTAAACAAATGTTTTATATTATAAATTTTTAAAATTTTGGTATAAAAATGATGCAAAAATTATTTTCAAAGAAGAACAGAATTTTGATAAAAAATTGTGATAAGAAATAGGAATTTTATAAAAAAATTTCTTCTTTTTCAAAAAGAAACTCATAATTTTGTTAACAGAGTTGTGATTGAGAAGCAGAAACTAATCTTAATTTTTTAACAATTTTATAACTTTTAACAAAAGTATGGAATTTTTCCAAATTTCAGGAAAATATATAATATTAGAAATCATAACTTTTTAGAAAACATTTTTTTATAAATCAAAACTTGTTAGAGAAGCTTTTTTAGAAAATAGATTTCATTAGAAACGCTTTTTTTATACAAAAAGGATTAGAAAATATTTTTTAGAAAAAAATTTTTAGTCAAAAACACTAAAAAAATTGAATTTTGGAGAAGTTACAAATAATTGCAGAAATTCAATTATGCTTAAAAATTTTTTTCAATTCTCATCAAAACTTAAATTATCTTCAAAAGTAATAAAATTCTTCGCAGAAATTCAATTATGTTCAAAACATTTTAGTAAAATTTTTGGAAAAACTTCAATTATTTTCGAAAATTTTCCTCAATTAAATGATTTTCAATATCTACTATTTTAATAAAATTTTCTAAAAGAATTCAATTATTTAAAACAAATTTTGATAAAATTCTACGCAAACATTTAATGATTTTCATAAATAATAACATTTTTTACAGGGATTCAATTATTTTCATAAATAATGAAAGTCTTTTTGGGAATTTAATTATTTTCATAAAATAATAAAAGTCTTTTTAGGAATTCAATTATTTTCATAAATAATAAAACTCATCTCAGAATTTCAATTATTTTTAATACAATTTTAATCGAATTCGTCGAAAAATGTAATTATTCTGAAAATTTTTATTTAAATTCGTCAAAAGAATTGAATTATTTAAGAATTTGTTGATAAAATTCTTTATGAGAATTCAATATTAAGAAACAATCAATTATTCAATAAATTATTAATTTTTGTATTTAAATAACTGAATTCTCGTAGAATTTTCTAATAAAAATTAATTTAAAAATTAATATCAGTTAAAATTTTGGATAATGGAATATTAAAAGGATTATAGCATGAATTTTTTAAAATAATTTAATTTTGAAAAGGTTTCAAATTAAAATCTTTGAAAATTTGAATTTTCCATACTTTTAACTAACAACTCTGTAGAATTATTTTTTTTGAAAAACTTCAATTACATTTTTTTTAAAGATTAATTGAAGTTTTTATTTTCTAATTTATATTTAATTAAAGAATTTCCGAGTAATAGAAATTTCGTAAAATTAAATTGTAAACAATTGGATTTGAAAATTCTCAAAGAGCTTTTTCAAAAATTGAGGCTCCGGACTTTAAAAGGGCACTTTCCGCATAGACTTTACATGGTAAAAATGCCCTTTTAAGATCTGAAGCCTCAATTATTAAAATTAATAGATTTAATGTCAAAATTGTTTGTTTAAACTCATAAAACTTAATCATTTCAATTAATTTAAATATTTAAAATTAATTTTAATAAATAAGGACCTAGAAGAATTTCTTCTATATAAGCTAAAATTTCTTATTTTGAATTGTGCTAAATTGTGGCGCAAAAAGTTTTTAAAAAATTATATTTTAAACAAATTTTTCAAAAAAAAAAATGTTTTTTAAGATAAACCCTATTTTGATTAAAGTAAAAAACAGAAATTGTGCTACACCTAGAAAATCATACTAAATATTGTGCTTAAAAAAAAAAATGTTTTACAAAATTAAAAAAATCTTCTTATACTTGAATTTTTTAGGGCAATTTTTCAAAAATCCGAATTCTGAAGAATAAAAGTTGTGTTAAATTGGTAAAATTGAATTTGATAAAATTTTCATTTGAAGAAATTTTAATTTAACATTTTCATTTTAACAGAATTTTTAGAGAGCCGAATTTTTATTTTATCAAAATTTTAATAAATAGGACTTTATACAGAAATTTTGTCAAATAAAAATTCTCTTTAGAAAATTTTATCAAAATGTTTAATAAAAATTTGGCATAATTTACAGAATTGTTTTAACAAAATTTGAAAGAAATTCAATTCGGCAAAAAGAAAATTCTATAGAATTTTCTTTTTGCCGAATTGAATTTATCTAATGAAAATCGATAAATTAAAAATAATTTCAATTAATTGATTTCATTTATATTTGTCTGAATTTGTTGTTGCTGTATGAAATTTTAAAAAATTGCAGGTTCTCAAACATGAAAGAGAATGATAAAGAAAAAATGAAACCGGAATTAAATTTACAACGTCTATGTATGCTGAAGATAGCGACCAGTATTTGGAATAAAGACGAAACTAAGCAGCAAATTGCCGTATTTTTTGATAACTTTTTCCCCTCCAATGATGATTGTCTTTTATATGAAAATTGGAATCAACAATTGACGAGCAATTTATTGGCATTTCTTCATAATTGCCCATTATCATTGAGTTCAAGGGCAAATTTAAAGAATACTATTACAATCACTGGCTTGCAAATTTGTCATTGGAAGAAATTTGTTGTCAACATTTTGGAATTGAATATTGACGAGAGCTCTGACATATTTTGGACTAATTACGGGACAATTGATAAGAAAAAAATTTTTCTCCACTGGCACGATAAAAGACAATTAAAATATTCTAAACTCTTTAATATTGCCTGTATTCTTTGTTTTGAAGACTATATTCCAAATTTATGGGAAAAAATACCCGAGGACGAGAGATTCAATCAATTTTACATGGAGACAATTTATACGTCATCCGAATATAATGTGATAGCGTATTGGAAAAATTTATTGCAAGTCGACAGTAAAAAGCGTTATACAATTGGTATTCAAAATGAAAATTTGAAAAAAAAATTTTCTTGGTATCAATTTTGCAATAATAGTCAAAGTATTGAGGAGACAATGTTTCGTATTTCAATGATGGAATGTCTCGAGATGGCTGTTAAATATTTTTGGGAAAAATTGAGTGATGATGAGAGAAAAACAAGCGTTCGAACATTAATTAAAACTAATTATTCGATAAGAGATGAAACGGAATTTGCGAGAATTTTATTTTTTCTCTCGACAAAATTAAGTCGCGAACGATCTGAAGAATATTTTTTGGTACAATCAATACTCATGAAAAATTATTCTGTACAGGATTTTTTTTATGCAAGTGTTGGATCGTGTTTTTCTATTCTTTGATGATTTTTCCTTCTTGTTACGATCAGAAATAATAATTGTGATCTGGTGTGATTTTAAAAAAAAAAATATCAAACGACTACCTCCGATGTCAGTAGATTCTTTATGTGATTTATTTACGTGTACATAAATATGAAGGTAAAAATAGAGATAAAAATGGCCGTGATAAGATTATTGTTGATTGTTTATGAAAGTCTTTTAAGAAATAATTTAAATACCTAATGGAAATATAACAGATTTTTTTCGTGTAAATTATTTATTATACAAGAGAATATTTAAATTTTATAAGAATTACATTTTTTTAAGAAAGAAATATTACAGTTTGCCAAAGTAAAGAAAATATTTTTTATAAAAGAAATATTTATTTCGCCTAAAAGAAAAAGAATTTTGCTTTTAATTTTACTTCTTTTTTTGAATAATAAGACTGAAACACAGTAAGTTTTACTTTTTTTTTATATATATTTTTATCTTTTTGATAAGTAATACAAATAGACCTTAAAGAAACAATAAAAAGACCTTATTTTACAATTTATGAATCGATAGTTTATAATTAACTAATTTTATAAATCAGATGCATTATTAATTGAAAAAAATGAATTAAATTGTAGGAAAAATATTTTTTTTAAGTATTAATGAGAAATATTTAATTTGAATTTAATCTTCAATCTGATAATGTAAATTGGATTTTTCTACATTTCAAAAGCTAAATATTAAGTCTTTCAAAAAATGTATATTTCATTGCATTAGCTAGTTACTTTGTTTCAAAGATAATTAGCTAATAGGCGATTCAGTTTAATGTATCTATCCAAATAATTATCGATAAATTTCATTAGTTTTAAATGTAGAAGACTGTATAATGAAATGGTAATTGAGATAAAGCTTCTCAGAAATTATCTTAAAATATAAAAATGAAGAAACCTTTAGAAATAAATGACTTATTGTCTTTAGTGTATTAATTAAAGTAAAGGTCATTTTCATATGAGTTTTATTTGTCAAGGAAATTTTTATATTTTAAGAAAATATATACATGAACTATATTTCAAAAACATATTTTTGTAAACTATTGAATGTTATACATATGGATAATAATTTATATAAGACTATTTTTGAAAAAAATGTAAAATATATATTTTTGTTCATCAATAAAAATCATAAAAAGAGAAAAGTTTTTCAAATTACATAAATAGTGTAATTCAAGTCATGATTTTCTATTTTTCAGGTTTTTTAACATCTCATCAAAGTGGGAATAAATAACATTTTTTTACAATTCTATACTTTCTTTTTTGTATTTATTAATATTCTATATAATTTTACCCCTACACTGAAATAATATTGAGAAAAATAATAGAATCTCTGTTTTAATTTATGTACGAAGGGCTATTTACTAAGGACATCAATGTGAGAATTCTGTTGGAATCTGTCAGAATTCTCTTTTTTGTTCGTTAGTAAATAATATGAACTAAAACGAACTACTTATCTTTCAAATTGACATTTTTACGCATTTGTTAATTAATTTTGTTTAAACAATGAAAATGCCATCTTACAGAAAATGACCATAAAATGTATTTATAATAAAATTAGTTCGTTAGTAAATAATATGAACTAAAATGAACTCTTTATTTTTCAAATTGACATTTTTACGCATTTGTTAATTAATTTTGTTTAATCAACAAAAATGGCATCTTACAGAAAATAACCATAAAATGTATTTATAATAAATTTAGTTCATTAGTAAATAATATGAACTAAAACGAACTCTTTATTTTTCAAATTGACATTTTACGCAATTATTCATTAATTATCCTTATTAATAAAATCAGATGTCTGTCTGTACATTGCTTAAAACTTAAAAATGTTAACATGATTAGTTATTATGGACATCAGAGATTCCAAAAATGTTCTTAAAAAATTTAATGTATGTATGTATGTATGTATGTATGTATGTATGTTTGTCTGTCACAAAAACTTTGTACCCCAATCACACAAAAACATGTGAATCGATTTAAGTCCAACTTGGTAGGTTATTAGGTATTGACCCAAGGAAGGTTTATAAATTTACAGATTTAAAAAATATTAATTAGAACGGGAGATATTCAATTTTTTCAAAAAGTTCAAAAAATCGAAAATTTCAAAATTTTTTATTTTTCATGGATTGCTTTTGAAGTTTATATACTTGAGTATTATATGTTATTTAGTCACATTATAGCATAACTTTGCAAAAAATAAAGTCCTATAACTAATATGTAAGTATAAAAATGTTTTCAAAAAATCGAAAATTTCAAAATTTTACATTTTTTTATGGATTGCTATTAAACTTTCTATATTTGAGTATTACATGTTATTTGGTCACATTTTAGCATAATTTTTCAAAAAATACTATTCTACAACTAAGATGTAAATATAAAAATATTTTCAAAAACTTGAAAAATGGAAAATTTCCAAATTTCACAATTTTTAATGGATAGCTTTTAAACTTTCTAAAAATGAATATTATATGTTATTTAGTCAGATTTTATCATAATTTTGCAAAAAATACTATCCTACAAGAAATATAAAAAAATTTTCAATATATCAAAAAATCGATACTAATTACTATATGAAGTATAATTCAGTAGTATTTTTGGAGTCTCTGATTAATATTTTGATGTCAAAATAGTGCAATTCAAAATTATTTATCAAATCAATCTAATATTTTCAAGAAGTTCAGAAATATTGAAAATGGAAATTTTTTATGATTAAAATGATTTCGCAGGATGTCAAGAATTGTAAGTCACCTGTGATACAATACAAGCATATTATGCCACTAGGCAAAAACTTACATGTTAAAACGTTTTTTCATTTTAACTCTAGATTTAACTTTAAGAGATGTTTTGAGCAATGTAAAGACAAAAGTTAACACGGTGTCTATTTTTGTTTAACAAAATTCCCTGCTTTGTCCAAACTTTTCACGGTTTATGTCTTTTTTGTCAAATTTAAATTTACTTGATTTTATCCATAAATAAATCTACAAATGGCTATAAAAATTTACTTATTTTATGAAAATACTGTTTCTTAAGTTCATATAAATATAGATTGTATTACTTGCTGTCGTACAGTTTTCTGTTTATACTAATACATTTAACTGGGTATCTACCAAATGGGAAAAACTGTAAAAAGCTGGGAATATGCCGAACCGGGAATTTTCCTATCAAATTAAGAAAAAGTTTCATTATATTAATTCGCTTTTAAAAAATTGCTTTTTACTTCAATTTTTATTGATGTATAATATTTATGAAAACAGACCCGAGTCAAAATTTAAGCCCTACTTTCAGCCTAAAATTTAGGTCTTATGTTAGGTTTTAGCAGTCGTAACGTAGGGTCTACTTGCGATACAATTAGTTCCAATTAGACTCTACTATAACTCCAAAAACTGTATGGAAAATTTAATTTTTTTAATACATTAATTAAAGTACTACAAATTGATAAATATTGTTCTCTGCATTTGAATTGGTTAAAATAACTAATTTGATAACAAAAAGTCAATCACTGATTCAAATAGTAATATTTTCCTACTAAAATAGCTATAATGGTAACTAATTATTATTTTTTTCCGGTCAAATTAAATTCCCTAGCTATTTCCTGATTTTTCAGATTGGTAGAAACTTAAATGTATTGGTAGAAACTAAAACCCGTCGAAGACGGGTACGACAGCTAGTTGTTTATAAAATAATAAGCACAACTGAAAAATGCAATTTACCAAATTATGATTTGTTTCCATATCAAAGAATCAAATCTGATATCTTGACTAATAAAAATATGAATGCTACGCATTTGTTAACTAATTTTTTTAACATATTTTTATTAATTAATTATTTCATATGAGCAGTACTCATAAATAATGAAATTCTTGTATTTTCTCAAAAAACATTGTGTTCGAAACATAAAAACTTTCATTTGTCCTAAAAAGGTACCTAGTAATAAGGGGTAAATTAAAGTAGATTAAAACGTTTCAATCCAATTTAATTCCGTTTTTGAAATCAACGAATGAATCCACATGAGTTCGTTATGTAAGGAATTAAAATGTATTGAAGTGAGAAAGATAATTTAAATGGATTCGAATGAAATTGACACATTTTAACGGTGTTGCCCAATTTCAAACAGTGGTCGCCTTTTAAAAATGGCTGCTTGAACGTAAACATAATTTGAAAAGGATTTTTCTCCCAATTTGGACAATTATTGCAAAATAGGAAAAAATACCAGCTATCCTGAAATTTTGTTTTTTCATTTGTGCACAAGAAATTGAAAATCCAATATAATACACGACGTCAGGAAGTAAAATGAGAAAATTAGATGGGCCCATTAGGTGCTGCCCTCTGGTGGTAATTTTATGTATCGCGCATTTGCTTAACTTTTTCCTATTTTACTTCCTGTCGTTGTAAATCTAAATAAATCTTTTACTTCTTGCGCGCAAATGAAAGATAAAATATTCAGGATATCTTGTATTTTCTCCGATTTTCCAATAACTGCCCGAATTGGGAGAAAAATCATTTTCAAATCAAGTATACATTTGAGCAGCCATTTTTAAAAGGCGATCACTGCGGAACACCATTAAGGAATAGAAATTGATTAAAAGAAATTAAAAGAGTACTATTGAAGGAAAACCATCAGAGAATTTTCAACAAAAATATTTATTTTTAATTACATAAATATTTAAAGAAAATAAAATTAATTATATACATATTTAAAGAAAATAAAATTAATTATATATACATAACATTTACACAAGCTTTTATTTTCAATATGTTTTTACGCTATGAAGCGCTGAATGATTTGTATTAAACCACAATCAATTGTTAAAAACCATTTTAAATGCGTTGAAACGTATTTATTCAGTTTTATTAAACTGGAGGAAACGTGAAAAAACAATTTTAAACGCTGTAAAGCGAAATAGTTATAAATTAAATAATAATTTTTAAAGAACTTTTTTGAACAATAACAAATTTATGTTCTATAAACATATTATAATAAAAAATAACTTAAATTTCAATATTTCAATATTTTTTTTCAATATTTTTCTACTCATCCACATAATCCAACGATTGAAGAGTCCTCATTTCTTCCTCTGATAGTGAGCATTCTTCATTATTTTCACCCAAGTAACCTGTAAGTTTGCAGCAAACTTACACCACAAGATTTGCAATCTTACACGTAAGCTTGCTGCAAGTTTGCTGCAAGTACAAAAAGGTCCTACTTGCTGCAGGATTGCACAGCAAGCTTAGGACAAGCCAACACTGCAAGTTTCTTAAAAATTCCTAAATATTTAATTATATAATATTAAGCAAATTATTTAATATTTAATTTTTATTTAATTTTAATATATTGCTTCCTCATAAAGGAAGCTTTGTATTAGCAAAATTTTGAATTGTCATTTTTTGACATATTTATAAATTTTTTTTTAATATGCCTAACACTTTAGTACTTTATATATGCACAGGAACTCCCCGTATAAATGTTCTAAATAAATAAAAAAAAATTTCGACGTATTTTGACCTCCGAAGTCCAAAAAACGGATTTTAAAAATTTGTCCCGATGTGTGTGTGTGTACTAACATTACATTTGCCTCAATATCTCAGAACGAGAAAAAGCTAAAGGCCTCAATTTTTTTTAAATTGTAGGTCTCCCCGGGGGACATAAAATGAGAGTATTTTCAGCCCGATTCATGAAGTTTAACTAATTTTTTTTTGCATTTTTAATTTTTCAAAAAAACGTTTTTTGACCATAACTTTAAAAAAATGTTAGGACACCTATAAATTTTTTTCTTTAGTTTTGTAGAGTTTTTTCAGATGCATCTTTTGAGCCATCACTGAACATTTTTCGTCCATATTATCCGTAGATATTAAACTTTTAAAAATCTAAATTTTTGGAAAATAAGACTTTTTTAAAAATTTTGTTGAAAAATGTAAAAGTAACTTTTAAAGTATCATTTCCAACTTGTAGAGCATTAAAAAACGCTTCGATAGACCTATTTGTCAACTTGATTCGACCAGAAATTACGAAATTATTGGTATTTTAAAAATAAAAAAAAATTGTCGAAAATAACATTTTTAAAATTTTTTTATTTAAGAGTTTTTCTTTAACTATTA